CAACTGGTGTTGACTCTCTTCTTGTTTCTTTTCTTTTTCCTCCAGCAACTGCTGTAATTTCTCTTTTCGTTCTTCTTGTTTCTTTTTCTGTTCTTGTATTGCTGCCATCAAATCTGCTAAGCTGTAGTTTGATTTGCCGCCAAAAGAGAAAAAAAGATGGAAACGAGACCATTTTTTTTTCGTCCCACTCTCTGACACCAATTTGTTACGTCTCCGCTTGTTAGTTAATTTTCCGTAAATTCGTTCTGACGAAACTTTAGCGACACAAGTCCTTTCTTAAATAAAACTGGTTTATTCTCTCTGAATACAACTTTGCGATTCACTTAATTTCAACAGTCGCTCTATAACAAATGCTATAATTCACAACAAACTTCTCATGTGCTCAACAATATTCTTAGTCATTACCTCCGCAGTGCATTTACACGCATATTGTTCCCGTCACTTTGTGACCGTCTTATATATACTAGACTAACACATATCTAGTAAACGCTAGAGCATTCATGAAGGAACAGGATATTTCTAGAAGGACGTGGTGTGATACTAGTCACGTGACCTCGCTGACGCAACCATATTTATCGAACCCACCACTATGGTTCCACCCACCTCTTCCTCTTTTGAAAATACTTGTTCACCTACACGTACTTCTCTTAATTATATGTTTATAACTAATTGAAAGTGCTCATTTTGAAATACATAATTCTGTTAGTCTTACTAAAATATTTACGCAGGTAAAGCTGTTATAACCATTGGAGGGTTTGAAGAGCAGTGATCAAAGTGATATTCTGATCAGAAATGAGATTTTTTAGACCCAGATACAGCTTAGTTAGGAAGCCTAATGATTTACAGTGGATTTTTGTCATATCATCATAGTAATTTATAATTTTTGTTATTCCAAAATGCATATGTAAAACCTACAAAAATTAATTTTTTTATATCCTCCATGTGCAAAATTCAACACGAATTAGCAAGTACGAAACTTTGTAACGTTGTAAATAGTAGAGATAATCATTTTCTATATATTTTTTATTTAATGTTCTATGTTTTAAGAAAAAGAACTGAAATTTATGAATTTATGTATAAATTGTAATAATATATACATGTATATACACACTTATATAATGTATAGTAATTAAAATGTCACTGTATTTGACAAAATACTGATACACTAGTACTAAGACTAAAAAAGTAAGACATTCATACTTTGTAAAGGCCAGTTTTATGCTATTTGATATGGTTACATGAGCTGCACATGTGCCACATGATTTACAACTTGTGTGGCAGGATTATTAGTCAGACACAGTGCAAAATTCAATACAACAGAAAGTAATAATTATAAATAGATGTATGCTGTTATGAGATTTAAGCTATTTAGAATAACATTTGTAATTTCCTGTTACATTTTGCAGTCATTCTAGAAAGAAAAAATTGTAATTTAGATTTATTTCCTAGTTTTTCATGGTGGTTACAAGGTCGATCAAATTGACCAACCCCATATAGAATTAGAGTAGAGAAAATAACAGATAAAATATAAAGTTTTTCAAAAAAAAAAACGTTTGATATTTACTTAGGAGGCTATAGAGATTATGAAATTGAAATTTTACAGTTTTCAGATGCAAAAGTATTTTTAATCTTAAAATCAAAATAATTTTGCATGTTGGATATTCAACATTTTGAAAGCAAAAATTCACAAGCAAATCTTTAATTAGAATACTTAAATATCAAATCTGATATTTTCTGTACAAAAGCCTTGTAATTATTACTGATAGTCTGGGAAATTTCATGAAGATATGAATACATTATCAAAAGTTATATTATGACTAATCTCATGGATACTTGTGGTTATGTAGTAGTAAAAGAGTTCATTAGCTGCATTTTCCTCATCACTTTGTACCAAACTGTTCCCATTCTGGTTGCCTGTTCCTCACCCATCAGCCCTGACTGTGCATACTCTCAGTCATGACTGGCCTCATCTTCTCCTCTAGACATATTCTCATCTTTGCCCTCACACACATATTTTTGCTGTTTTTCAGGACACTCAATGCAGAATACTGTTGGTTGGTCACCCACTACTGGCCTGCCCAACCTTGGTTCCCTGTTCTCTGTCTCCTCTTGACCAAACCACCAAACCAGGGATATTTCCGGAGTGTAGTGCAGATCACCTCCATTTCATATAGATACATCACAATCTCCAAGTTGATTCTGGACACATATCACTATTCTCAGCTCCTACACATGTTTCTATTTATCATATTTACTATTCCTGCAATGGCATGAACCCTCAGTATCTGATGGCAGAGTAGATGATATTCATTCATATCCAACTATGATGTATTGCTCACACACCCTACTCCTACAGCAGACAAGAGGCCTCATAGATTCTGATGGTTGAGTAGTGTCCAATAAGGTGTACTCCTCCCATGACTGGCATAGGGCCCATAGTGTTTGATGGTAGAGGAGCTGTGCACAGATACTTATCACAAGTGCCCTTCTCCCACAGCAGGTTTTGACCTGTAGAGACTGATGGTAGAGGAGGTGTGCATACAAGGTACAGTCTGAACGAGACCTAACCTCACTACATATTTTAGCCATTTGATGACTTGCAAATATTGAATGGTCATGTACCTATTCCACTCATTCATGCAACACATTTCAGGCCTTTCACCTCTTCTATTCATAATCACAGGCAAAGAATATGTCCTGTATGAGATGAGATATGGTCTACCATGGGTGTGTCCAATGGATACCCTGCCATAGAGTGTTGCATCCCATGGGATTCTTTCGGATGCTTGCTGAAGGGAGCTCATCTAGGTAAATTTTGCATGGGTCCCTCCACCATCTCAACATGGGATTCTAGCTATCTGTGGATGGAGGTGACATTTTCCTTAATTGAAAATTTATTTGTGATAGATATCTCTGTATGTGTTCCCACCTATCCTCCCCACTTTCCCAGTGCACTAGTATTAGTTGCCTTGTCAAATAATGAGATTTTTGCACACAAGTATGAAGGAAGCATTTACGCAAGGAGGTGTGTCAATCCAATAGGTGGAGGATTTTGTTGTATGATACATCATTATGCAGTAGTGAAAATTCATGTGTTTCATATAAACTTTAGGTGGGCATTTTCACAAGGCTGGTGGCATGCAAATTTGTCAGGCAGATTAGCCTGAATTCAAGAGTAAAATAGCTATCTGTGTACAGAGGTGAGTATTTGATGGAAATACATTTTCAGTTAAGGAAAATGTTAATGTTTGAGATTTTCATTAAGAGTACCTGAGCATAAAGTTAATGTTCTTCCGTTAGTTAACAAACTGTTAATATATCACCAGCAGTGTAAAAAACTGATTAAGAATGTCTTTTAAGTAAATAATTTGATTTTATTTTTCTTTAATTTCTTTCCTTTATATTTAAGTTGAAAAGTGAAAAGTCCATTATTTTATTTCTTTAGTCACTTTCCTGTTTTACTTTAGTATTTATTTGAGTTACCCATTTGCTTTCATAGTTATGTCTGTTTAATTTTGTGACGTTGGTTTCTGTTTTATTGACATTTTTCTTTAGTTTTTTTTTTTTTCAAGTCCATGCGTTTTCTTTAAATTTTTTTGTAGACATTGTTTCAGTACATTGACCTAATGATTTTTTTTCTCAGATTTTGTAGGATTTGTATTCAATATAGTTCAGTGAAATGCTACAGTTCTGCTATAGGATTCATAAACAATATGTTAAAAATAATTTCATAATCCATTGTTAATGGAATTTAGTACCCATAAACATGATAGTACTATCTTGTTAGTGGCTCAGTAGTCATAAACTGCTGATAGTAATTTCTCAATAGCTCAGTAGTTACGTTCTGGTGCCACCTTGTCAATAACTCAGTAGTAACAAACATGCTGATACTAACTTGTCAATAACTTAGTAGTCATAATCATACTGGTACAAAGTTGTAAGTGACTCAGTAGTCATAAACATATTGCTACTAACTTGTCAGTAAATAAGTAGTCCTAAACTTCCATTATTAGCTTGACAGTACCTTAGTAGTTATAAACATGTTGGTGTTAACTTGTCAGTAATTCAGTAGTCATAAACTGCTGTTACTAGCCTGTCAATAACTTGGTAGTCATAAACTGCTGTTACTAGCCTGTCAATAACTTAGTAGTCATAAACTGCTGTTATTAACTTGTCAGTATCTTAGTAGTCATAAACATCTTGGTAATAATTTGTCAGTAACTCAGTAGTCATAAACTGCTATTACTAGCCTGTAAATAACTTAATAGTCAAAAACATGCTGGTATTAACTTGTCAGTAACTTAGTAGTCATAAACTGCTGGTACTAGCCTGTAAATAACTTAGTAGTCTTAAACTGCTGTTACTAGCATGTAAATAACTTAGTAGTCAAAAACATGCTGGTATTAACTTGTCAGTAACTTGGTAGTCTTAAACTGCTGTTACTAGCCTGTAAATAACTTAGTAGTCAAAAACATGCTGGTATTAACTTGTCAGTAACTTAGTAGTCTTAAACTGCTGTTACTAGCCTGTAAATAACTTAGTAGTCAAAAACATGCTGGTATTAACTTGTCAGTAACTTAGTAGTCATAAACTGCTGTTACTAGTCTGTAAATAACTTAGTAGTCGAAAACATGCTGGTATTAACTTGTCAGTAACTTAGTATTATTATTACTAGCTTGTCAGTAATTTAGTAATTATAAACATGTTGGTGCTAACTTTTAAGTAATTCAATAGTCATAAACTTAGTAGTTACAAAATGCTGATGCTAACTTGTCAGTAACTTAGTAATCATGCAGTTACTAGCTTGTCAGTAATTTAGTAGTCATAAATATGCTGGTGCTAACTAAACCTCATTGGCATTAGATATGGTGTGATTAACATATTGTTATCCATTCATCCTTACTTTTACTGCTACATTTTGAATTACTAATGTAATAGTCTCCCATTGAATATGTGGTTGCTTTACCCTTTCTAGGAACAAGACGACTAGCTTGCTCATTTGCCAGTTCTTCTGAATGATGAGTAAAGTTAATTCAAGTAAAAATCTTAATGGTAAATAACTGATGTTAAAATAAATGGATAATATTGTGTTATTAATCATTACTGTAATTCTTATATGTAAATTACTTCTACGAAACTTTACCATTTATTCTAGTTCACACCGTAACAGTTGCTGTTTGTGAAATATAATATAAGTAGCATCTCAACCATAATTGTATTGTATCAGAGCTGGCCTGATTAATCCTGGTATTGTTGGCACTGCATATTGTGTGTTTGGCATATTGTTATACATTCTTCTTTACTTTCTCTTTAAGTTTTAGAGCTGCCAATGACTTGGTAATCATAAATATGCTGGTTCTAACTTTCCAATGACTCAGATCAATTTTGAAATAAATTAGCGAGATTTATTTTTGCAAATAATCATTGTAAAGTACAGCTATAAAATGGATATTTTTTTCACTTGCAACTTTGCAGTTGACCTAAACCAGAATTTCATTCAATAATATATGTTTGTGGTTATTTTAATATACATGTAGCAGAACACTACTTTGTTATAGCAAAATCTGAAGCATTTAGGCTCACTTATGCTCAGAAACAAATTCAAAATGTATAGGTAATTTTTAAAACTAGGGAATCGGGAAGAGCCAGGTTGAGAGAATATTACATGGAGCTTGAAGAGATGAGAGAAAGAGTAAAGAATCAACCTCTGCTTGTGGAAAGACAGACAATGGTAAGATTATAAAAGCAACAATTTGAAATAAGTTCAGACAACTTGCATACCAAATTTATTGAAAATGCAATTTTGATGCAACAAAATTCCACTTATTAAGAAATGTTAATGACTCATGTGAATAATTTTCATTCCAATTGTTAATAAAAACACCCAATTTCCATTCTTGTTTAAGGTTATTACGGGACATTCAAAATAAGTTTATTAATTTATTATATATGTTGCACTTATGACAAACTTGTAATGTGACTAAAAATTATTTAAAAACGAATCTTCCCATGGAATTGAATTCAGATTATAGCCTTTATGTATGTATATCAGATGACTAAAAACATTCCAATGACTTCCCCCTATAAAGGAGTTCCTTTACAGAAAACTGTGCAATTTTTATCTTGTGATTTAAACCTGTGATATATATCCTGACCTCATACAGAAAATATTAAATTTTGTTTTATTGTTAAAAACATGAAGTAAATTTGAATTCAGTTCATTGTGCTATAAGAGTTAAATTATTTCTGACAAAATATAATAATTTTAAAGAGCATGCTAATAGTCAAAGCCTATGGGATTTCAGCATCAAAATCAGTGTGTTTATTAGTGCAGTAAAGACTTGTTCAAATTCACATAAATGTAGTACATCTTTCAGTGAGATTATGTTCTCACCATCATCAGAAGTTAATCAATACATTATTGTATTTATAGTATCAGTGCATCTGACTTCTTTTAACCACATTATTGTATCAAAACCACATTTAGTAACCAAAATTTTGAATACAAACTACTAAACTAACACAAATATGGTACTTGTGCTCATTTGTTTATCTTCTAATATGACTATGTGGGAACTGTACACATCAAGTGGTGATGTTTATAGCAGGAATATGTAGCATGGTTATTTTGTGAAGAGATTAAATAACCTAACTTGTAATCACATTTATGAAAAATGTATATTTCATGTTGGATTGCTATATATATTTGTTTTGCATAAAGTATGAGAAATCTTACTTTATAACAAGCTGTTGCTGTAGTTCATATTATTGTGAGACATTTTCATGTCTTATATAAAAATGGGAACTTTTTAACTTTTATAAATATAAAAGTTCTAAACTGTTTTTATTTTACTGATAAACAATAAAAAATTCAAACGTGGATTTTGATTTAGTTGAAAGTATATGGGAGTGATGAATTTTTTTTACATAGAATTGTATGTGTGTGTGTTCACAATTTTATATGCTTTTGGATGTTCTGTAATATTATAAAAACAAGAGGGAATCCTCAATAGCCGTGGCACTTGAAATTCTTTCAGGCAGGATTAGAATAAATTAATCTATGAGACCTTGAGCATGGTCAAATACCTCAATCGAAAGAGTTTGACCTTTTGAGTCCAAAATTGCAATTAGATCTCAGATCAATCAAGAGATGACAGAACTATGAGCTCGAACTTTGTACTTGAAAAAAAAACCGGAACTATTCTATGAACCGCTATGGCATGGCTAATTATATCCTGAGAAGCACCTATCCTTTCCATTATCATTGCTTAACAATTTCTAATTTATTTCAGTTTTTGTACCACGATGTTACATTATGAATATTAACTTTAGTTCTGATACTCCTCTGACATTTAGGTGATGATAATGGATACATCTGTTGTGTTATGAGGTGATTTTTTACATATGATGGCATGCAAGTGAAATTTCCAGTTTTGCCTAGGTAGATAAGACAGTAGAAATTGGAGATGAGCATATGTTGCAATATTTGTGTGGTGTTAGCTGATGTTAAATCCTGTGACTATAACTGTAAGAGAGAGTGCAGTTCCCATTATTATGGTGATGTAGTTGATGTTTGTATTTGCTTTAACTGCCATTGTAGCTTTACAGATGTATTCAGCCATTACAAAGTTGGAGTTGATACTTTAATGCTTTTACATTGAAGATGTAATTGTTTGTCATCTTATCATACCTTTTCAATCTTTTTTGTAATCTTAATCACATATACATAATATATAGGCTCATTCATTTTGGCTGACCTTGTAACCCTGAAACTATACTTACTATAACTCTAAACTTACTAAATATAGCTTCACAAAATTTGGTAAGCTGTTAGTAAACATTAAAAATCTAATTGTAGACACGAAAATGGATTTTTGAATAATAAAGTATTTTTCGTAAATATTTGTCTGTGAATTTATGAAGCCTTTACAGAGTCAATATGAATGAAAGGGGATTTTAATGCTGAGAATAAAAATGCTTTTTTCCACCTTACAGTTTCATATTTCATTTGTTTAACCTCTAGAACCTGAATGAACATCAAAAATTTTTAAAGGTGAAACTTTGTATTTTAGCTTTTACTTTTTCTTCTGTAACATTAACTGTAATGAAATCATCTGTAGCAAAATTTCAAAAATATGAAATGAAATCAAAAATAATTTTTGTAGACTGCAGATTGTAACAGACAACTAAAATTTTTATTTAATTTTTTCATTTAAGTTTTCTTTTATAACTTAATACATTTTTAATTGTTGCATTTCAATTAATTTGTTTAAATAGATAATAAGAAGTAAAAGATATAGTAAAATACAAGAAATTTAGCACTTACCCTAGCCCTATGTCAGCTTGCACTTGGGTGCCTTATTTAATAAGTTTTCTTTTTTCATTATCCAAAAGATAATTCACATAGCCTTCAAATATATGTTAGAACACAAAATATTTCAGGGAATAAAACAGAATGCACTACAACTACTATAATTTACTTGGCTTTCTAACTAAACTACAAATAAATTCCATTACTCTTTGGAGCACTAACATACACCAAACTGTACATGCCAAATAGCAGCGTTCACCAACAAAACAAAATATCATCAGAATCACATAGTTCACTAAATGGCCTTTTTATTGATTATTAACATATACCATTGATAAGTAGGTATGAGCACAATAAACATGCACACAAATCTTAATGTATTCAGAAAGTGTTCATTATCTTGTAACTTTAGTCATAGAGATATAGTAAACATGCACACTAATCATATGATATTCAGAAAGTGATCATTGTCTGTTAATCTTAGTTGTATAATTATAATGAATATGCACACTAATCATATGATATTCAGAAAGTGATCATTGTCTGTTAATCTTAGTTGTATAATTATAATGAATGTGCACACTAATCATATGATATTCAGAAAGTGATCATTGTCTGTTAATCTTAGTTGTATAATTATAATGAATATGCACACTAATTAGAAGGTGTTCCAAAAGTGATAATTATCTTGTAACCTTACTTACATAAATATAACAAACATGCACAATAATCTTATGATGTTCTGAAAGTGATCATTATCTTGTACCCTTAGCCACATAAACGTAATTATCAAGCACAATAATCTTATGATGTTCTGAAAGTGATCATTATCTTGTACCCTTAGCCACATAAACGTAATTATCAAGCACAATAATCTTATGATGTTCTGAAAGTGATCATTATCTTGTAACCTTAGCCACATAAACAATTAACATGTGCACTGATCTTATGGTGTTCAGAAAGTGATCATTATCTTGTACCCATAGCCACATAAATGTAATTATCAAGCACACTAATCCTGTGGTGTTCAGAAAGTGATCATTATCTTGTACCCTTAGCCACATAAATGTAATTATCAAGCGCACTAATCCTGTGGTGTTCAGAAAGTGATCATTACCTTGTAACCTTAAAAATGTATACTTACCTTATGGTGTTCTGAAAGTGATTGCTACAATTCAGAAACCAGCACAGCATTAGAATGTGATTTTATCAGATTTTGTCTATTACAAAACAGACACACACATACACACACAAAAATGTTATATTTTGGGAATACTGCCAGATGTACTTCACATGTTAGTCATTACATTAATGTTGTTACTTTTAAAAGTACCTTGTTTATGTTTTTACAATGTCAAAGTATTCTGCTTTTAATCATAGGAAGCTGCTAAGAATCAGGCTAAGCAGCATTATGTTAAAATACTACAAAATGCTGGACTGGACCCAGACTTTGTGCAGAAGAAAAGTGATAAGTTTGTACAAGATATGAGTGGTGAGCCTGAGAGTACTCAGTATAGTGTGAACAGTAAGAATCAGCATCGGGGCAGTAACACTTCACTATCTCATCCTTCATCTCTCTCATCATCCAACCAGCAGGAAGACCAAGAAGAATACAGTAAGGAAGATAAATATGAAACTGAAGAAGAGGCATCATACACAGAAAGTTCTAATGATGCCAGTTGATTATAAAAATGTCTTTTACATAGGTAATGGATACTAAACAAGAAACTAATTTTTTCCCTACTTAAGGCTTCCATTACTAATACTTAAGTGTGACAATTAAGAGGAAAGTACTTGATAATGAGAAAGGTTCGACTAGGGGACACAAATATAAATTTTGGCAGGATTAGAAATTATCTTCAGCTAAGACAGCTTTATTTTTCTAACAGGGTGGTTGACATTTGGAATGGATTGCCTTTAGATGTGATGGATGCAATTTATTTAAGGGAGTTTAATGAAAGGCTTGATAAACATTTGAATGATGAGGGCTGGCTTTGAGTGTTTTATTTAAAAGTTTACTTTAGTGGATGGGATGGCATAGGTGGGTCAACATGTCCTTTGCCGTCTTTAAATTGTATGTTATAAACTAACCTCATTAATTTGTGTTCAAGCTTATAAGTTATTATGATAAAAAATATTTAAGAAATATAATTTTTTGTATTACTCTCTAAGTGATATATGTATATTTAAAAAGGTTTTCAACATGAGCTTACATTAATTTTGTGTCAAGCTCTTTGTGGATTAGAAATATGGATGTTTTATTGGAAAATGGTATTAATACAGTTTTGTTAGTCTGTTCTAAGCAAAGTTACCAAGTCGGGGAAAATTAATGTCATTTCACTAACTAGGGGTCCTTTATTACTGCTAATTGGAAAATCACCTATATCTTCTATGAATCTCCATGGTTGGTTATATTGATTTGAGGATTGTTGTGAGGCTCAATCTGTAATGCTGTGGATGCCACATATAATCTAACCTGCCCTAGAATGGGGAAAAAGTAGTGTAATATAATACTTAAAAATGAATGGTGATTTCTTTTGACTCTTGGATGTCATTGATATTGACATACATGTTCAGCAGGTTGGGTATACTGCTTTTAATTCTTTCTATGATAGTGGGTTTTTAACTTTAAATTTAGGTATGTTACAAAGAATTGGATTTTGATTATTCCATATATGTTCTTGCATTAACTATAGCCATACTTACATATCTTTAATTAACATCAAACAAATATTTGAAAATGCCATATTCTTATTATATTTTACTTCTATTTCAAACTCTCAAGAAACTCTCACAGTTCATTAGAATTGTAAACACAATTCTGATTGGAAATCTGCATGAGATTATTCTAGAAATTAATGATAAACAAACATAAAATACCACAACTATATTGTCCTATATAATATCCATAAAAGATTCCAGTTTTTTTAATGTAATAAGTGAATAAACTTTCACTTTTTTATACTGTGATACTGCTGAAACAGCAGGTTTTTCAAATTTAACCTGTGATGTGTATGATGAGACATTTATTTATCAGTATTTGTTCCTGTAACATTCAAGAAAATAGAGCATAAACTTAGAGATAGACACACAAGCTCCAGTAATGATATGATATTCAAAAACAATCACTATTTATTCTTCCTCATCATGTTAGATGAGGTGACTCGTATATCAGGTACATTATCCATAGTTCCCAAAACAACCACTTGCTTTGTATTTTGACATTATTAATTTCAAAAATGTGTTGTTTTCTTTTATCATTTTCAAGAAGTATGAGCAGAAATGAAAGAATCAACATAATTACATGAAGACTTTAGCATAATATTTAATGTGAGATATACGACTTTGCATTAATAGATAAAATAAGTCAAGTTACAAACAAATGTAGATAGATGGTGGTTTAGAGATAAATATATTCTTTTGAACACAATTCCTTGATCTTCAGAACTTATTGAAATGTATAAAAGAGATTTGAGACATACTTTTTCATGTTTTGTTGTGATACACAATTGATCTTGCTATAATTACCCTTTATATATGTTAGATTTATTTTATGTATGTAATCTGTGATAAAATCATTAACATTTTTTATATTTTCAAAGTGATGAGCCAGTACAAACCTTTGAAGTATATAGAGGAATCAACATCAGTTATAATTATTTAAACAATATGCTTTATTGCAGTGGTATTATTATCCTACTAAGTTATTTTATTTAATTTTTTAACATTTGACTATTTTATTTAAAGTACTTTTTAGTTTAAAGAAACATAATTACAATTCTTAGAAAGTAGAAAACATTTTATAGACTTTTTATTAATAATTGGAGTGATGTATATATATATACAATATTTATTTATTTATATTTTAACATTTTTATGTGCATTATTCTGTGGGAAAAAGATAAATTATTGTGTTATGTCAGTACATAACGTAAAACAAACCATCAACATTATATCTTAGCTAAAATTCAGCATCCATTATTACCTAAAATATAAAAACAGTATTATCCTGTAATCCTTTAATGTAGGTAAAGCATGAACTCTAGCCTAAAATTTGACATTTTAGAACTCGTTCAATTTTTCCAGTTTTTGTTTCCCGTTATCAAGTGTAACAGTATATTCTAACTTGATTGTTATTATGTAGTAAGTTTTCTAATGCTTTTTGGTGTTATGTAATTACTGACATCTCTATTTAACTAAAACATGCATATTTTGTAATATATAAGGTAACAGAAGTATGTTACAACTCATTATGTACATTTTATGATATTTAATGTTAATTTCGTTCATGTTTTTTAAATGTTTCTTTTTCTTTTGTGATTATTATCAAGTTCTTTAACATCTATATTTTTTTAAATATAAAATGTATCTACAATTAATTAGAGATGAAGTTTACATGCATGACCAAATAATTAAAAAAGGAATTTTTCTGTTGCAAAGGTAAATATAATCTTATTGTTTAGTTGTAAAGTATTTGAGATCTTGAAGTGTAACTATAATCTTAGATATTAAAAGTGTGCCTAAATATAAAAATTATCTCAGATAAATTATGTAGATGTTGCTAGCACAATAATTGAGATCTGTAGCATCATTAGCTATACAAGTTTTTTTAAAGAGATATTATAACTTAAGTGAAAACAAAAAGTGTCTCTGGTAATATTTAAGAAACTTTTAAGAACAAGCTACTAGTGCATGCATTTAATTTTTTTAACTCTAGGAACACCTCTTGTCATGATTAAGTTCAAGATGTTGCTATATAAAGAAATATATATATTTATTGATACACAAAAGCTTCATTGTCTGTAACTATTTACTAATGACAAAATATTTGTATTGCAGTGTAACATATCAAACTTAACGACAGACACACTTTGGGCTAACCCTATTAAAATGGACTGCTAAACATTTATAATATTTTCCCAATAAGGTACATTACATCTGCTCACATGTGCTGCCCTCTATATGCAAATATTTTTTTGCATGCAACAAACCTTGAACTCCCACATACTCTACAATCAAGGTGGTTCAACTGCATCTTGTATGCAAATTATCATGCAACAACCCTATACCAATAGGAGTGTGACACGCCCTCCTGACACATGTAAGTCCCTTTATTCAATTCTGCTGAACTATTGCTTCTCTTTAGGCAGTGACTGAGTGAAGATGTTTTTCACTTGTGCTCTTTTCATGTGTTCATTTATTTATTTTTTGTGAAGTAGTGATTTCCCTAACTTATCTTTTGCTACAGTTACCTTTTTCTGTAGTAGTTTGCTGCGATAACTTACCTTTGTTTGGGCTGGCATGGCCAAGTGGTTAGGGCACTTGTCTCACAATCTGAGGTTGCGGGTTTGAATCCCCGTCCCACCTAACAAGCTCACCCTTTCAGCCATGGGGGCATTATAATGTGACAGTCAATCCCACTATTAATTGGTAAAAGAGTATTCTAAGAGTTGGTGGTGGGTGGTAATTAGTAGCTGCCTTCCCTCTAGTCTTTCACTGCTAAATTAAGGACGGCTAGCGCAGATAGCCCTTGTGTAGCTTTGCATGAAATTCATAAACCAAACCAAAGAGAATAAAAAATAATAATGGGAGAATGACGGGTTTTATCACAGATCCTTTCAGTAGACCGATGTACTTCGTATGAAAAAAAATCTTCCAGTATTTGTGCTTTTTCTTTTCTAATGTCGATTAAACAGACACTTTTATCCTTGGGTAAAATGTATTTCATACTAAGCCGGAAGATATGATATACTTTAATTTTATTTTGATATCATTCTCATGTTAACTTGAATTATGGGTCTGCTTTGATGTCACTCTAAGAGCAATAAAGAACCTAGTGGTTAAGGTGCTCGACTCACAATCTGTGGGGCCTATTCATTGGTAAAAGAGTAGCCCAAGAGTTGGTGGGGGGTGGTGATGACTAGCTGCTTTCCCTCTAGTTTTTCACTGATAAATTAGGGACAGCTTGCACAGATAGCCCTCATGTAGCTTTGCATGATATTCAAGCCAAACCAATACCTTTGTTTATTGATTTTTTTCTTCTCATTTTCAACTTCTTCATGGTTTTAGATGAATTCTGAAGTTTGTGTTTTACAGCTTCTGATACTATTACCGCTACTTTGAGTGCCATTACTAGCATCAGGTCTGGGGGTTTTAATGAGGATTTTTTGGCTATCATTCGTCAGGAGTTTGATTCTTATATGAGGCATCCTTTTTCTCCCAACAATGTTTGGGTTGTTCCTCCTGCATTGTTCGAACCTGTTTATGATGAGGAGGATTTTGACAGTTTTTTTTCCTTCTCCTACCTATGCCATGCCTTCCCATGCATCTTCTATGAAATATACTAGGCCTAACTTCATGACTTCAGAATGGATCCTTTTCTCCATCGGTTTCTTTTTGGAGATTTTCCACAGCCTTTGGATTCATGTGTGGACTCTGTGATTGAATATCTTTTCTTTTTTCCTGGAATCTCACCTCAGTCATCCATTGGAGGAAACTCTTCAGTCAGGCATGTGACCTCCACCTCATACGTTCATCTCCCACTATTATTATTGGGTAGCTGTTTCTTCCTCATCAGGATACTGCCTTCCAACTGTTGCCATCCTTCAAACTTTGGTGAGGCCATGACTTGGTAAGTTATCTTTTCTATATATATTTTTCCCTCCAGTGACATGTCCCATTTAGGATTTGAATCCTGCTCAGTGGCAATTGTTGCCTGTCCAGGTATGCTTCCTGTATCTCAAATACACACTGTATGACCAAGATGTATACCCATGGCTAATAATGAACACTGTTGAGATGCGGTGTTCCACAAGATCACTAGTGTGTCCGTTCTGGATTGTACTAACCCATGGGTAAAGCAGAAAGGGATAGCTGCCCATCTATGCTGTCCATTTGATTGAATAAATCATGGGTGGTCTGCTTTTCAAAATAAGGTTTTTGTGGTCATCCATTGCACTGTCTCTGGTGTTGGCATTCCTCTGGACTCTACGCTGCATTTTATCCCCTTGTTCTTCTAGTAGAGTGTGGGAGTTCTTGCCACTTTCTAGTTCTGAGTCACTGTGATGGTGGACCATGGAGGTGTCCTCCTGAATATGTTCACTTCCATTCAGTAGAGAGTAGAGTGGTGGTGTTCTCCTGGTGTAGATGGCATGCGATCCTCCAATCATGTGCTCCAACTCAGTATGGTGGATCCCGGAGGTTGTACCCAGCTTCTGTTTGGGTCTCTCCAGAAGGTGAGGTTGGTTATATTTTCTGTGTGCAATCTACTTCCATGTGGTGGGATTTGGAGGGTATCATTGCACTCCAAATTCTGTGTGGTCCTATTCGGGGGATGATGTTGCACATACCTATAAATAAATACACTTCACCTCTGTGCAGTAGGTACAGGAGGTTGATGTTGCATACAGCTTCTGTGTGGTTCTATCCTGAGTGTGAAGTTGCTTATATTTTATAGATGCAATCCACTTCTGTGCAGTGGGACCCAGAGGTTGCTATTGCACTCAAGCCTTTGTGCTGTCATCTCCAGAGAATGATGTTGCTTTGGAGTAAATCCGTCACATTGCAGTTCACCCCTTTTATTAGGATCTCTCATCCTACCATCACCTGGATGTAGGTTCCCAGTGAGTGGTTTTCTATTAGAGCTGGACCAATCAACATAAATCCTCTCACATGTGTTGTTTGTGTTTCCTATTCGTCACTCAATTTGCCTCAGGATCTCTACTTCCATGCAAAGAGTCCTGGAGGTTGATGTTGCACCCAGCTTCTGTGCAGTTCTATCTGGAGGGTGAGGTTGCTATATATTTCTCGGGGTGATTCACTTCAATGCATTTGGACCCAAAGGGTGGTGTTATGCTTCAGTTTCTGTGTGGTTCTATCCAGAGGATAATGTTGATTGAGGTGATGGTTCTTCCTCTCACACTTCACCTCAGGGTGTTTTCACTGCCTGAGGCTGATGTTGCACTGTAGGGTGCCAGTATGATTCAGTTTGAGTTTGATGTGACCTGCAACATTGGCACATCTCTTCATACTGTCATTTCGATGTTGGGTTCCTGGATGTATGGTTGGTTGTGGATTTGTGCACATGTTCCTATTTTGTAGATTGGGTTGCACAGTATATGCTTCCATTTTACTGAACTTGAGGTGAAGACAGTGTGAACCCTCCTCCTACCATAGGTTAGAGGTTTTATTCCCGACACTGCTTGGTTTTGGACTGGAATTGATTGGCTGCATATGGTCTGTCACGCCATAGCTACTCTACATCTTGGAGCACATCCATTTTAGTTTTTCCTACATTCTTCTACAGTCATTCTTCATCAGGATTGAGATGCCTGTATATTATGGTTCGAATTTGAATCCACCCAATTTTTTTCCACTTTTGGTTGTGCTTCTCCCACTTTCTACTCATGTATGCGACACTTATTTCCGCACTGGATATAGAGTTTACCTGTTCAACAAGTGGTGCAGTCTCCCACGTGTGTTCTTCTCCCAATGGAGATCTCACTTCATGGTGTTTTTCAGATGCTTTCGAGGGATACTTATTTATGTGCCTCAGACAGGTCCCTCCACCTATTTAGTGTGGGATTCTAGCTATACATGTGAGCAGAAGTAATGTACTGTATCGGAAATTATTATTTTCCTAAACTGAAAATATATTTTTAATGGGTACTTACCTCTTCTCATACTTC